GGACCTTATACGGATTTACGGACTGATACACAGGATCGAGGCTATTTCCCAGGTTTCCCGGGTCGCTTTTTTACCTGTCGGTCAGTGGCTGTCGTTCACCTGAAAGGCACAAGTGAAAAAAGGGTGTAGCACTGCTCTTTATGTTCTCAGCTCGGGGCAGTATGTTTGCCAGCGCGAGGATTTGCATAAATAAATGTCTAATAGTGCCTTAAACCGGGTTCTAGAATGAGCGTTGACAACCGTCGGAGGAAGGTCATTCCACGCAGCTACTACCCGTAATGGGAAAAATTTTTATCTAATGAATTTGTGTGCTCTGAGCTTGAAAATTTTCTTACTTTGTCCCCGCCGAGTGTTTGCTGGGTCAACGGTAAAAAACCTGTTTGCCAAGCTTTGTTCAAACGGGGCATAATCATGAATTAGGTCCCCTCGGAGGCGACGGTACTTCAGGGGAAAGAGATCAAGCATCGCGAGTCGCGTTTCGTAGTCCACGGATTTGAGGCCGGCAACCATTCTCGTAGCGGCCCGCTGGACATGGTCAATGAGGCCGACGTCTTTCGTGCGTCCTGAGTAGACAACTTGGTTCGCACATTCAAGGGGCGGTCTGACGTAGGCCTCATAGAGCGTTTGGAAGTCCGTGCGAGTAATACAGGAGAAGGTGCGTCGGATCATCCGTAAAACGGCGAATGCCTTTTGGGCCGATTTCTCATGGTGCAGTGAGAAGGACAAGTTTGAGGAGACCCAGATGCCCAAATCTTTTTTGGCATCTATCCTCATGATGTTTTCTGGTCCCTTTTCACCATGCGCAGCAAAGGCGCAAGAACGTCTGGGAGGTCGTTGACGTAGATCAGAAACAGGAGTGGTCCCAAGACGGAGCCTTGAGGAACTCCAATGGAGACCGGCGCTGGAGAGTAATAGGTTGAGCCTATTCTCACTCGTAATGACCTGTCTGATAGGAATGCCTTGAGCCAGCGAAGGATTTTCCCTTGAATCCCGTAAGACTCGAGTTTTTGGAGCAGCGGGACGTGTGGGACCTTATCAAATGCTTTTGAGAAGTCGAAAAATATGGCATCCGATATGGGTCCTTCGTCCTTGGCTTGGGTTAAGCTGTCCATAGTCAGGAGCATGTTTATCACGCAAGGGCGGTTTGGGAGAAATACGATATCCGAGATATCAGATTGCTGGAAGTAAGGTGATCTAGGATAGCTCGCTTCAGAATGCGTTCCATCACCTTGC